AGACGAAGCTAGTGATCTGTAGTACCCCGCAATTGGCTGCAAAAGGAAGAAGGAGCCGGCTGGGCAGCAGCGAAGCCCCCGTGCTCCGGCTCCGCAGCAGAGGCTGCTCCCCCCACCCCCGGTGCCGGGCAGGGCAAGGCACCGGTGATGGAAACAACCTGGCGTTGTCCCCGGCACGCACGGGAGGGCTCAGCCTGCCGCACCGCTCTGGGCAGCGCTTCATCCGGAGGGAGACACCGAAACATCCCGCAGCCCCAACCAGACACGCCATGCTCCCCGCAAGGCACCGACTGCCCGTCCGTCCGTCCGTCCCCGGCTCCCCATTCCCGGGTTCCCGCTCCCACCTGCAGCCGCGGCGCCCGGCTCCCTCCTGCCCTCCGAGGAACTGCCGAGGCACTGCGCGGATGCTGCCGATGCCACCGCCACCGCCCGCCCACTCACCGTCCCTCCCACCCTCGGCCCGCCAGCCCGCCTACCCTCCCTCCCTCTCTCTCTGTCTGCCCTCCCTCCCGAGGCGGAGCCCAAACCAAACAACTCCGAACAAATCTAAACAACAAAGACTGTTTTCGAAGGGCGGCGCTGAGTTCTGCTCTTGTCTGGTTTGGAAAAAAAGGAGGCTGAGGGGTGACCTTCGTTGCTCTCTGCAACTTCCCGAGGAGGGGAAGTGGAGGGGGAGGGAGTGTAATTCTTCTTCTTGGTACCCAGCGACAGGATGCGTGGGAATGGTTCAAAGCTGTTCCTGAAGTTTACACTGGACACTGGAAAGCATTTTTTTTTCCTGAGCGGGCTTCCTAGAGAGATGGTCGATGCCCTAAGGCTGTGTTTAAGAGGCATTTGGACAATGCCTTTATCAACATGCTTTAACTTGGCCGGCCCTCAATTAGGCAGTTGGACTAGAGGATTGTCATAGGACAATTCCAAATGGAATGTCTATTTTATTATATTCTAAAACTAAACAAACCCAAGACAAGTCAATTGAGGGTGAATGGAGGGTGTTTTCTCAGTCGGTGGGGCCTGCTGAGGCCAATGGGCAACACGAATAGGCACACCTCAAGAATCAGCTTTATCTGAGGATTTGCAATCAGCTGTTATATTAGAAATGACAGGTCCATTCTCACTGAGCTTTTGGAAAGGAATTGAGCCATCTAGTCCATGAGTCAGCTGCCTTAGCAGGCTCAAAACTAGCAACTGTAGTTCCTAGTAGCCAGTTTGGGCTAAAAATAAAGTGAAGGAATGCTGAGCTGTATTTGTGGAGCTAAAAAATTGCTGATTGTCCATAAAATGCAAAAAATATGTGCAGGAACTTAGGAAATTGCAAACCATGAGGAAGTAGAAAGGAGGTAGAGTCCAGATGCTACCATGCAGAAATAAGTTGAAGCAATAAATAGAATACAAAACTGCTGCAGCTGTAAGTGGGGCTTTCAGATGCTCTGAAGTAATTGCCTCCCTTTTTAAGCAGAGATGATGACTTAGCCAGTAAATAGGTTAGTGGATTTGGGCTGTGGAAACTTAGGAGTAGCCACTGGCTAAGATACACAGTTGATGTCTGAACTTAGTCTGGATGGGGCTCTTAGCAACCTGATCTAGTCGAAGATGTCCCCCATTGCGGGAGAGTTGGACTAGATGACCTTTAAAGGTCCCTTCCAACACTAACTGTTCTATGATTCTGTGTTACCCTATGATGTGTGTTTCAAATTCCCAGCTATGAAATGGTAATTTCAAGTGGTTATTTGTAAAAATAAATTCTACTCTTGAGACACATTCATGTGGGAAAGAGCAGGTAGTAAGATGGAAAAGGTTATAGATTTATTTGTAGTTGGCAAAAAAATGTGGCCTGGCAAAAAAATGTGCTAGGGAATTTGTGCCTTATTCCCATAAGGTTTTCCAAAATCTTTACAGGAAAGAATATATCTGAAAGTAACACAACAGCAAAAAAAGCATGGTAGCATTTTCACATCCATTTAGTGCTTTTTTTTTTCTCTCTCTACTGCATTCTTTACATATATATATGTATGCATTGCCTGGAACTCTTGTATTATGTCAGACCCCTTGCTTGGGATGTGATTAAAAGCCTCTCTGCTTTTTTGCAGATGTCACCAACAGAAAACTGGACAGATACAGAATCACAAGGAAAATGAGGAAGGAAATGTCAGACTGTTTTTAAAGTTGATTAGGTGGAAACTCAACAAGGCCAGGGCGCACCAAACTGACACCTTGCCCTAATATCAGAATCACCCACACTGGCTTAGGAAGAGGCAAACCTAGGCTAGCGTATATACTATTTTTTTTTTTTAATTTAAAGGACAATGTTGCAGAATAACCAAACTCTACCTTTTGAAAAGAATCAGTATTCCTAATTCTCCAGAAAAGAGTTACCAGTTAAAGTTAAACATGTAGGCAATATGCTAAAAGAAGGAAGTATACAAGTAATTGCATGTAAAACTAAAATAATTACAAGAATAGGAGAACTATCCCAAGCCAAGTGTACATCCAGGAAATCGGTGGTCAGCTGACCCTCTAAAGAATTACAGACATGCTGAATTACAGGCATCCACTCAAAATACAAAACACGTCTGAGGGTGATGGTGCCCTGGCAGAGGATTACAGCTTGAGGCAGTGTCCTCAGCTTTCTACCCCACTGGGTGGCTAGCCACACTGCTCCTCAGTGAGATACCATAGCCTTGGTGTGCTGGTAGACCTTAGGATGCTGTGGCACAACTCTATCAGAGCAATGCCCATCCTGTTTTGGGGTTTTTCCTGGTAGATATTTAATTACAAATAGGTAATAAATTCTAATACAGCCAAAGACCATAGTTTCTGTGGCAACAGCATTTAATTTTAGTAATTTCTCTTAGATGTTTATGAGTTGGAACTTCCACCCAAGTTGGAAGGACAAGGAGACTGTAGGCACTTTAGTCATTCCTGTTCAGCAACTCTGACTGTGCTTTACTGGTACTATGCAACTGCCATAATTAAGACATACTCATGTTTTAGATGAGATTAAGCCTTTTTTAAAGACCCTGTAATGAGTGAAATGATTGTCAGTAGAAGACAGAATCAAGTGCTCTTCCACTTATCTTTTTAACCATTGGAGATCTTGGAGCAGAGTAAAGAACAGAGGGGAGCTGATCTCAGGAGGAGTGGAGCTGATCTCAGGAAGAGTAGAGTTGGACTCAGAAGGTCAAAGAAAGAAAAATGGAAAGACCTTGCAGTTTTCCATTAAAATCAATCTGTAAAGGCTTTCCAGTATTGTCCATTTCAAGGCATATGGGAAAATTTGGTATCTTGGGAAAAGGCTAATCCTATGAACTGAACAACAGAAATAGTTGAAAAAACATCACTTTTGGATGTTTTTAATAGTGAACTGTACCAGTACAACTGTTGAGGCAAGGATTATACACGGTATTTAAAGTCAGTAAAATACCATATGTACATTCATATTTAATTAATTTCTGTTTTTAACCTGTCCCATAGCTCAGGATGCAACTATTCCTCATGAGTACAACTTTAAAAATACCTCAGTAATATAGAAACATGATTTGAATAGCAATTTCTGAAGGGAAGTAGGGTGTGGGGAGGAGTGGAACATGGAGAAAAAGGGAGAAGAGTGAATCCCACAAGAGCTTAAAGACACAGGAAATGGAGACATTTAAGAGCTAACCGTGGTAAATTTACATGAGGTAGAGAGTGAAACTCACACAATGCTTACCCATGACAGTGGAGTTTCTTGGCATGAATGTGTGACAGAGGGAGAACAGATACTGTTAAGGTGGATCAAATTTCTCCATATCCCATCTAGGTAGATACACCATATATTTTCTAGGATAGCAAAACTGGCTTAAGTAGTTCTTGTCCTTGCTGCCAGGTATCTTGTCTCATAGCTATGTGTTCCCACATCTACTGTGCAGTTTATTGCTCCTTCAGTTGCCAGTGCCACTCTAATTCAGACTATATATTAAAAGGAAAAAAAAAGAGCTATTATAGGTTATTATTTAATTTAATTATTTGGCAGTCCAATGTACAGTACAGCTCCATAGGACTGATACCAATGAGAAAGTGTATGTGTATAATGAGGAGAAAAAGCAGACAAGGGCAAAATATGGGTCTGGTTGCCTGTTAAACCAGTTTTGTCATAAAATAAAATGGATCGAGGAGCTACAGCTGTATTACTAGACTAGTCACCTGTAGAGAGATTGTTTTTCCTTTTTCTTTTTGCCCATCACAGAGGCTGAATGGCTTATTATGAGGGAAAGATTTGTTCTTTTGACAAAACTTCAGTAGCAAATAATTTCATGTGCATTAAATAATGCATCAAAGCACCCAAAATAAAAATGCTGAGAACTGTAATTGCAAAGAGGGAAAGATCAAGCGTGATTAGTAACTGCAAGTCATTAAAGTAGGCACGGCTGATAGACACAGCTTCTTTTCCTCCAGTCTTTGCTGGGAAAACTATGTGAATGGAATGAAAATGTGAAGTTGATGCACCAAATTTACATTAAGGTCTCTCCATGATTTAAACAGAACAAAAGGGTGGGCATGGCTCTTTTTGATTCAAATGTTTAATACTCAACAGATAAGTGATAAGCATTTTATTCACAGAACCACAAGTTTAACTACTGAAGTCTTAGCTGTGTAGCCACTGTTAGAGACCTGCATGTTGAGGAAGTGATGCTTTATCTGTTCTAGTGAGAAGCAGTTGCCAGACAAGGTCCTGGAAGAACTGAGTATTTTCACAGGATGTCTTACCCTGAGAAATGTTAGAGCTGTTGCTGAGAAAGGTCCATTTGTCAGAGACAGACCCTCAGAGGCTTTCATATTGTAATACTGAAGAGCATTCTGTACTGTCTTCTTATGCCATTTCCTTAGCCTGCAGGACTGCTGCTTAAAAGATGAATTTCTAAGATAAGTCCCATTGACATCTGCTGTTGTGAAAATGAAATAAAATGTATGAAAGTATCATGGAAAAAAAAATTCCTCCTGAGTGATTGAGCAGCAGAAGCAAGACAAGTGACATCACATTACAAAATATTTTCAGTTTCTTCGAGATACTTGTGCTTGCCTCTATCATCAAACTTGTAGGTCATTATCTACATGGAAAAGTATACAAAATGTATATTAGTTCAACAGAAAAGTTTCTTTTTTCCCCCAAGCATTTTGAGTTCACAGAATACGAAAAAGTACTTACAGATGGTACATTTCATCACTGTTAACAGTGTTGATGGAAATGCAGATGTTTGTAATTCAGCATCTTTGAAACAGATGACTAGACATTCGCTTACTTCTGCCCTTCCATTTTTAAACAGGAGTTCTGCTATTTAGACATCCTCTGTCCTTTCAAATGTGACATGAACCAAGCTGGGCCAAGGTTATTTTATTAACTTCTGCTTTTCAGCATTGGCAGCACTGAATTGATTTAACTAAACAAATCTTGCAAAAGCAGTTCAACTTTCTCTCTAGCACTGTCATGCATTTGTTAATTAGATTGATTTACGAAGTGGTGTAGTGTTTGTATTGCAGGCAGAGATAGAAGTCTCATTTTTGGAACAGTGTTCACACTCACGCAGTTGCCTGGAAATCATGATGAGTGTATGGAGGCACAGCTGTCCACCCAGGCAAACACAGTGGGAGCAATCCAGTTGAAGGCTCCTTCATGGAGGACTTTTCTTGCTGTGATAGAGTCTTATTTATATAACGAACACTTTCTGCTCACCCACTGTTCTGGTGACAGAATATAGAAATGTCATGATGCTCTTTCAGAGTGGGAAACTTTTGAACTGTCAAGCGCTTGAAAAAGAGGCAATGCCTACAGTGAGAGGTAATATTTTTTATTAGACTAGATGATGCACTGGTGAAGAACATGCTGGCTTTCATGAACACAAGAAGCCCTTCATCATACTGAGGGTGGGGCCCAGTTCATGCAGCCTGAATACCATCCAAGGCCATGGTTCCACATGATGAAAGGCTGGGTCCCAGAGCATAAAGTAGAGGATCAAAACCACTGCAGTTACTTGGCACAAAGTGGTGCAAACTCATAATGCCAGCTGAAGTGTAATACATATTTTGCAGAAATAATTTTGTCCAAGCATATTTTATAGTGGATCAGGTATCATCTGCCGGACCCCAACTACAAAGGACTACAACACTGGTGTAAACACCATCTCCTATGTTTTAACATGACAGAAGTGGTATTATATGCTGACACTTCATATGGATTAAATTTGTACTTTTAGATGATGCTGTAGCACAGATTTGGTATCAATGAGTGAAACAGTCTAAACCAAATGCGCTTCTTTTAAATTACCTGGTATTCCCACTGTAAACATAGGTGAAATGTGCACACCCCTACACTGAAATCCTGTGATACTTCTTGGTGGAGTGCTGATTTTATTCATCAGTAAAATGCTGAAACTTTGTAGTTCTAACTAGGTATGGATAAACAGCCTTCTGACCATCGCCAAATTTAGTAATGATGGAGAAAATTAGGTTTTGGTATGAGAAAAAAGAAATACATTTAGTGAAGTTCACATCTGATACTGATAGTTTCCTACATGGGGAAATCCATCAGAACATCCAAACAGGCCTACCTATATTTCTACAAATATGGTGGAGTGGTGTGCAGTAGAAAAGTATTTTTATGGAGTTAAATTCCTCCCACATAGACACTTTTATATGATTCAGGGTAATGGATATGTGTTTGTCTGCCTTGAATGACAATGAAATGCTGCCGAAGGAAGACAAGAAAAAAAAAATCCAGAATTACCAAGGAATTCAGAATTACAAAAGGGTTGTCTCAGAGAGGAACTGTATGAATATACCTGCATTAAAGTTTTTCAGACTTACCTCCACTCCAGTTTGTATTTTTGCCAGTGGGAGAAGGATAGAATTTGCTAGTTCCCATCACAGGATGAAACTGCTCCACCCATGTGGTTTTAATAACAGGGATTCATTAATAATTGTCGCTGGTTTATTAATGTCACATAATCACATATGGAATCAGTACCAACATTACAACAGATAAACCAGAATGCTAACAAACACCTACAAATGCCTGAGCAACCTTCTATGAGTAATCCCCAAAATTTCAATCCCCTCCCAGATGCACAAAGCTACAGGCACCCATAACTCACATGTCCCATGCCAACGGGGTGATGCCTTGCGTTGTCAGGCCAGGTTTCTCTTCCCTTATCATGAAACTGAATGCTTTGTTTAGATTTCTTTTGAAGCTGACTCAATTTTTTTTTTTTTCAGAAGTCTCTTGGTAATTTCCTGGTTACTATTTAATCCAGCTGATGGCCATCTCTTAAGCAAACTTCATTACTGTTATTTTCCTCTTTTGCATGACCTGCTTTGGGGCAAATGCCGTTGCAGGTGTTTTTGGGGAGCCTGTTCACTCACACTTTTCCCACTTGCATCCCGTCATATCAGCAACTGTTACCCATTCTATGGCACTGAGATGGGGACCATGCACATTGACCCTGTCTCCCAGATGAGGAGCCACAAGTTTCACCCAACACCTCCATCCCCACTTCTGAGCCACTTGGTCTCAGCCAGGATGGCATTCGTGCACATTTAGGATGCAATTCAGTTCCTCCTAAGATGAAACAGCCAGAAGAGATCAGAAACCTGCACTGTAGGCATCTAAATAAGGGTCCCAGCTCCAACCTTTAAAGAATGTATACTTTGTTTAAAACATTTTACTAATTATGAAGCTAGAAATGAGGCTGACCTGGCTTGTTCTGCACAGTTGAAGCTAACTGTAAGATGCATGTGAGGTATGAAGTATATCATGAGAACTTCTCTTCCTGAAATTGCTTATATGTTGTCCTAACTTCACTGAGTTTAGTTACAGCTCTGATTTCCTCCCACTTTTCTTTGTGTGGCCCAAGGACTTCTGTAACAGCTATGTAAGGGATTTGGGGTTTGGCCTTAAAGTGTCCTACACATGGTTGAGTCTGTGCCAAGACTTTGTTAGCCAGTGCTTGTTTGTACACTCCCTTCCTTTCCGGCAACACGTACAGTGTCAGAGCCTAGTTTCACACTTGGTGGTAGCACTGCCTAAGCTGTTTTACTAGCTTAGTTCATACCCCTCTGTTCATGACTTCTTGTTCCCGTTGCCTCCTCAAACCACCCTTGCAGCAGCTTGCACAGCTAGGTTGTGAACCAAGTGGTGGAACAGGGACAGCTTGGGATGATTCAGAAAAAAATAGGTTGTTTTCCAGCCAGATCAGTTTACCATGCAGCTGCACACACACACCTGATTTGGCACAGTAAAGGGATAACACAGGCGTGAGAATTTGCAAGGGGAATGGGAGCTCCATAAAGCATTAATTCCATTCAAAACAATGTCTGTGTAACCATGTCCTCTGAGGACACAAATTAATTTAAATGAATAAGAAAATCTTGCTAGGGATATTTCTCAGGTGCTGCATTACCTGTTACTGAAGCTCCAGCTGTGCCTTCCGGATGAACTGCACAATATTTTCCAACTCCCCAACATTTGGAAGGGACACTGGAGAGATCTGGCCCTGCACATTTCTTGAGCTTCTTAGTCCTGCTGCTCTCAGGAGGAGCTGAGATTTTGCAATACTTCATAGATGTCACTATCTTCTCAGGGCTCAGATACTAAAGTAAATCTGGGGAGTGCACTGCCATCAGTAGCATACCACAAACCTGGTTCATGTGCTCTGGAAAAAAAGGATGTAGTGGTATATAGCGAACAGCTTTTGCAGCAGCCACACTTGTGTTAAGAAATGCAGTCCCTGAGCCTTTATTGTTTAACCACTTCTTCCAAGACATAGTTTATAACTGATGCCTCAGTATTTACTCTTGTTTAACCCTATTAATTAAATATTTGGCAGCAGGAGCCTTCTGCTTTCATTCCCTAAATATATATATCATCCACACTGAAATATCTATACCATTTTGTTGCTAATTTGAGCAGGTAAGAGGGATTTTCCATATGTATTATTTTCTTTCAAAAGAGTCCTCTGTTGAAACAGAAACATATCCATGAAACCATGGAACTTTTGCTAACAAATTAGTTGCTTTTTGGTAAAGGAAAAAGAATGATAAGGAATGTCAAAGTTTTAATATAATAGTATTGAGAGATCATATTAGATACTACTGTACATAGTACCACATCACATTATATTATTTTTCTTTTACTGCATAAATGAGAACGTCAGCTGTTTCTAATATCATTGCATGATGCTACATTACTTTTCAAAGATATTAAAACCAGCTGGTTTTCAGGTCAGGTTTGTAGCTGAAAAATTATGCTGAATTGTTACTGAAAAAAATTTCCTACTGTGTGTGCATCTTATACCAGCAAAATTAAATCCTAACACACAGAACCTATTTGAGACCCTACAAATTACAGAACTGATCTGGAACAAACGCACTTTAAGAATTTAAGAAATAAGGTTTCAGACTAGCCCGCCCTAGTGTGTAATTTCACTTACTGTGTTAAATGATGTGAGCCTTGTTTGGATATTACTGCAGTATCTCCTACCATTCTCCATGGCTGCTTCAAGGTACCTTTCTGGGCAGCTTTTCAAAAACACCAGCAGAAACCTGTCCTCGCAGGACTTCACCCGGCAAAATCCTTTAGACCAGATAAAATCTAAAGTGCCTGTAAGATGTAGGACAACCAGTTATGAGAAAGGCAGTTTCTTTCACAACACAGAAAACACAATCCAGGTGTCTACTTAGTTATTTGTGAATTAGACACCAATTTGTGAATCCACAGTGGGCGGCAAAAGCTCGAAGAATAAAATACCGGGTGTGCCCAGGTTGCCAGATGAGTTTGGGTTTGAAGCTGTTTTCAAGCACAGACTTGTCATTGAGCTTCATTGTGTGCACAAAAGTACAGAGTTTATCCTGGCTCTGGAGTCTGCTGGAAACAGAATTTAAGTAGATCCAAACTCTCATTAATAATATCTATGCAAATGGCCAAAAGCCAAACCAAATCAGCTTTCCATTTCACAGCATCAACCAGCAGTCAGACTTGCGATGAAATTCATCTTGCGGGGGCTGAGGAACATGTGCAAATAAAAATGGGTGAGAAGCAGCTGATAATTATTTAAAATTTGTGTCTTGCAGCTTGGTTGTCTTCTTACACTAGCTTGACACAGGTATGGGTTCACTGAGAAAGGCAGACTTGTAGGTGTTGCGGTACTACAAAGCAACACCATTATATAGGGAAAAAACCTTTGTGAACGAGGGCTTCAGGTTGTGTTATTTTCAGAACATTTAACATGTAGAGTATGTGAATTACACTGGAGCTTTGGCTACTGGTAGCATTTCATAGTATCACACAATGACAGCGTGGTTGAGGTCAGAAGTGACCTTTAAAGATCATCTAGTTCAACTCCCTTGCCACGGACAGGGACATTTTTCAACAGATCAGGTTGCTCAGAGCCCCATCCAACCTGGCCTTGAACACAGGGATGGGGCCAGTGCCTCACCATCCTCACTTTAAAGCACTTCTTCCTAATATCTAACCTAAACCTGTCCTCTTTCAGTTTAAAGCCATTCCCCCTTGTCCTGTCACTGCATGCCCCTGGTAAAAAGTCCCTCTCCAGTTCTCTTGTAGCCCCCTTTAGGTACTGGAAGGCTGCTATAAGGTCTTCTCAGAGCTTTCTCTTCTCCAGGCTGAACAACCTCAATTCTCTCAGCCATTCTTCATGGGAGAGGTGCTCCAGCTCTCTGACCATTTTTGTGTCCCTTCTCTGGACACGCTCAAACAGGTCCATGTCTTTTCTGTGCTGGGGACCTCAGAGGTGGATGCAGTACTCCAGGTGGGGTCTCACGAGAGCAGAGCAGAGGGGAAGAATCTCCTCCTCCCTCGACCTGCTGGCCACACTCCTTTTGATACAGCCCAGTATACAGTTGCCTTTCTGGGCTGTGAATGCACATTGCCAAGTCATGTCCAATTTTTCATCCACGAGCTGCTCCAAGTCCTTTTCCACTAGGCTGCTCTCAATCCATCCATCCCTCAGTCTGTGTTGCTCCTAGGGATTGCCCCAGCCGAGATGCAGGACCTTGCACTCGGCCTTGTTGAACTGTATGAGTTTAGTAAGGGACCACTTCTTGCCCCAGCCTTTGTCTTCCATCTAATTTACTGAAGTTTTCACATAATTCTTGAAAATCATTTCATAATCAAGGTAAATTACTGCACTAGATAATGGGAGCTATTTACCTCACAATACAGGGTATGGTAATATTTGAAACTTAACAATGTGTGATAATAATAAAATTAACTCTTACCAGCTACTAAGAAACTCCAAATTTGGAAGAGGCAAGGTTGAAGGAAGGGGCAAGTTTCCTGGACCTTAAGAGGACTGGCATTATCTGGATGAACGCAGGCAGCCTTTTTCATTCACAGTCTGTTGTCAGTTCTTAAAAATATACTGCCACACAACTTACTGAATACATTACTCTCAAGTGGTTTGGTGTCAATACTGAAACCTTTGAACAGATTCACAGCTAATTGACACCTAGGTAGGACTACTTGAAAAAGTCATATTTTCATTTGGCTGGCCATCTGAACAACTTAAAACCCAAGAGCAACAGTTGTATCCTTTTCTTCAAGATCATAAATGTTGAGTTTTGCTTAGCCTTTTTTTTTTTTTCCTTCTGAGATTTGGAGAAAATGCTACCTTTCAGTTCCAGGGAAGCAAAGAACCAGGCTCTCTGAAAGAGGGTAAGGTTTCGACTGAGAAGGCTGCAGGGTTTGGTGGGTGCAGTTCCTTCCTCCTTGTGAGCAGTCTCGCACAACTGTGCTTAGTGTCTTCAGCATGAGGATCTGGGTTGCTCTGACCTGCATGTCCTCAGTCTCCCTCTGAATAAAGATGTAATTTGAAACAAGAATCCATTGAAAACCTCAAACCCCAACAAACTGAGTGTGTAGCTTTACTGTCTAAGCATTCACACAAGGGAGGGGATATTGGGAGGCAACCTTAGCATTGAACCATACATAGTGTAAAGTACTTTTGCCAAGAAATCCTCTGTTAGCAATGTGTTGGCCTCTGCTGTATAGATGGCTGAACAGAGAAGAGACAACAGATATCCTCGATTACCTGAGGGGATATTAATCTGACAATGAAGGATCCAATATTCAGCAACGAATTTGGTGAAATCCAGTGGAATACCTGTTTGGGTATATCCTACTACTGTGTCTTCTTTATAAAGCTGACCAGTTAGGACAGATGCCTCTCCTCACTACATCTTTCCCTCTATGTCTTGATTTCCACTTACTGTTTTCCCAGAAAAAGGGTAATGAATTTTCCAAAAGGCTTTCTGTTCTGTTTTTGACAAGACCCACTCTGTACAGGTCAATTAACTTAGGTGATCTAATGGATCTGTGCAATGAGATGCACTGGGATCCTGAGTACAGAAAGTATGCCAGTGTTTTTGATTTTATTTACGAAAAGTATTAACCTAATCAGAAAGCTCATAAAGGGAGCATTGTGCAAGGCTTTATCTGTAATTGCAGATAAGTTGTAGCTGAAGAATGTCTGATATCCATGGTATTAGTGTGAGATCATTAGACAGTCCACATAAAAAAGCATAAAACCAAATTGCACAAAAGCATCATCAGAACATCACAGAGATTTTCCTTAAGGTTTTTCCTTAAGGTTTTTTGAGGGGGCCATAGTGTTCACTTTTGACAAGCTACTGGGTAGCCCCCAGTGCAATCTCATTAGCAAGAAAAACATAGCTCCTGGAGGAAAAAAAAACCACAAACCCATCAGCAAATTACAACAGGTAATTAATGTTAAAAGTACAATTGCTGTATGTCATAGAATGATGCTGCTTTTGCTACAGTTCCCCAATTTAATAGGCTGGCTGAAATATCTTCATTCTGTTGTTGGAAGGCAGGGGATGAGGTAGTAGTATAATATTTGGTACACTCAAAAGCAGTTCTAGGGCCATCTCAAAACTAAACTGAAATCAGATTCCTCAAAGTCAGCTGGTGGATAGATGACAGCTTCTGGGAGGGGAGGGAAGGAAAAGAGAGAGATGACCATGGTAGCCTTAGATGAGACAGTTTTAAGCCATCACAGAACATTCGCTTTTTATTTCACATTGTGTCCATTTGCTTTGGGGGGTGTGTGGTTTGGAGTGCATGGCTGTGGGATCTGACCCCAACTCGTGTCTGTACATGGACTTCCCAAAATTGGAGTTTTGAGGTTGAGAAAGGGGAAACATTTATGGAGGAATCCTCATACAGACATCCTCATTTATAGGTCATTAAATAGTGGCAAATGCTTTCAATTCCAGCAGCACGCACACTCTGCAAATACTGCTCTCTAGGTTCTTCACAGTATTTTCTTAGTTGTACTACATTTCAGACCTTCCATTTTAGGAGGACAACTTTCGTTTTCATAGAAAATATTGGTCTCTGCTTTTTCAAAAATGGACATTGGATAGTCATTTCCCCAGAGTGGCTATAGGAATTAAGGTCCTGATGGTACTTGTTTTGGTATTATATAGCCACCCATGGCTGGTGAATACACGGATGAACTCATGTTGGGTGGGATGCTGGAGACTGCGGTTCTGCCTTAGGTTTATGCTACAGATAGTTACAGAAGGATCAGAGGCTGCGCAATAACTTGTGCCATTCAAAAAACCAGCTTGTATTGCTCTCAGGTGCTTATGGCATCATGGCATTTGTCAGAAATTAGTAGATTTTGGGCAGTGATTGTCCCACTGTACTGGGTGCTGGTGAGGCTGTACCTTGAATCCAGTGTTCAGTTCTGGGCCCTTCACTATAAGAAAGACATTGGGGCCCTGGAGTGTGTCCAGAGAAGGGCAACACAGCTGGTGAAGGGTCTGGAGCACAAGTCTTAGGAGGAGCAGCTGAGGGAGCTGGGGGTGTTCAGCCTGGAGAAGAGAAGGCTCAGGGGGGACCTTATCGCTTTCTACAACTACCTGAAAGGAGGTTGTAGTGAGTTGGGTGTCAGCCTCTTCCCCCAAGTAACAGGACGAGAGGAAATGGCCTCAAGTTGCACCGGGGAGGTTTACATTGGGTATTATGAAAGATTTCTTTATGGAAAGGGTGGTCAGGCATTGAAACAGGCTGCTCGCCGAAGTGTTTGAGTCCCCACCGCTTGAGCGAGTCCGTGACGGGCCCGCACTTCCAGCGGGTCACGCGCTTAACGCGCCACGCGGCGGCGGGCGGGGCGCGCGTGAGGCAGCCCGGGCGGGGAGCGCCCGGCAGGGGGCGGCAGAGCCCGCCCGCAGCGCCCTCAGCGCGGGGCTCCGTCCTGCCGAGCTCGGCGGCACACGGACTGTCCATCGGGCCTGCCTTCCCGGGAACCTCCGTCTCTCTCGCGCCCGCCCGAGGGAAGCGTGCGGAAGGGCCCGCGGTTACTGATACCCCGTCACGTCCTGCACGCCAGCCTGCCGTCAAAATGTAGGGCTGGAGCTCAGCCTCCTCCCGAGGGGGGCCGAGACCCTCAGGTCTGCTTAAACCATCGTGGAGACCTTTCCCAAGCGGTGAGAAAGGGATATATGTTTTGCCTAACCTCATGTTGCATGCTTAGACCACATTGTCTCATTCCAGTTTAGGTTGCAAAGATCTGCACAGAGCCGCTCATCTTCCACAGGTTTGAATCTCAGCGTTGCCATCTGCCAGATAAAAGGGAGACTCATAATGCCCATGCTTTTTAAAGGCCTCTTTTCTCCACTTTAGAAAAGAGGAGGAGGTACAAAAAGAATTTCAATACTAATATGGTCGGATACTGGAAGGGTGAATATACAAAAGCCCATAAATAAGCAGAGGAATAATGAGCCATTGTGCTGATACTACTGGCAGGTGGGAAAGAAATGAGGTCACCTGTTTCTCTTACCTCACCTGACCTGCCGTTCACATATAAAACTGGGATGTTTGTAGGGAACCTTACTCTCAAATTTAGGCTATTTATCTAACCAAAACGTGTGGGAAACTTTGTTTCAGTCACAAGTATGTTAAATTACCTCGTGATGTCAGCCTTATCAATACTGAATTGCAGGGGAAAAAAGTTCAAGCAGAATTCAGATGGAGTGAAGCGGATCATCCATAGGTAAATAGCAAATAAATACTTTTCTGAGCTGACAGTGGTGTAATTAGAGAAGAAAAAACACCTTGTAAAATAAGGATATACTATCCCTGTCTTACAGAGAGTTATAAGGACAAACTCAACAAACAGCATTCAAATCTTCAAAATCTGTTGTCTGCATTAAGCTCAGGACTTAAAAATGATGCACCTTGTCCCAGCAGGGAGATCCAGAATTCCTTATTTAGACTTATAGGTTCATTTTTACTGCTTATGGAGGTACCTCTGAAGCAATATCTAGAATGCTCATATGCGAAGAAGACCCAAAGGAAAGAAAGAATAGCTGGTAAGAAGCACTCATCACATCTTCTTTCTGCAATGTAATAACCTAAGTGTTAGTGTCCCTTTGAGGAAGGGTTTCCCATTAAAAAAAAAAAAAAGAGTCACATAAACAGAAAGATGCAGGTGATGGCTGAGGATGTTGTTTGACTAGCTGAAGTGTAAATATCCATATTTTAATAAGTTCCCCTCCTGTTTTAATGCAGTGCCCAGGGATACCTGTTAATGTTCATGTTAATGCTGTTGTCCCACTCAACAGGGTAAATCAACCAAGTTTGGGTCCTTCTGAAAAAAAGGCAGAGAAAATTTGGTTTCAGGTCAGTAACAATTTAAGTACTGCTTAGACACAACATCTCAGCCTCCTGCTTGGTTTGGATGGGACTGTGGCTAATACAGCCCATCCTCTTTAAGGTAGCCACAAGTTCCAGTAGAAATGCAGTTTAAGCATCTGCCCCAGGGCAGTGTCATTTAACTTCCTCAGGGTAAGCCACACCTTGAGTCAAAATAGTTAAAATCAGTATAAAAACTATGTTGAGCAGGTTGTGCTGTAGATCCAGTTTATACATTTGCTTTGGCTCAGACAGGCATTGCAAAGGCAGTGGCTACAGCGACACTTTCAGGCCGATCAGAAAATGGCCATCCAGTAGTTTATCAGAGTTCAATAAAGTGTTTAATAAGCTCAGTTATGTTGTGACTGGTAAAAAAGGCACTTCTTTATGTGTTCTGTGGCAAATAAATCCATTAATCATTCTCAGATTCATCTTCATTCATCATTCAGGGATAAAGACCAGTAAGTTTATCTCTGTGCCTGTCTCAGCCATGAAAAATTATTCCCTATGCTGCAGTTTGATTATTTAATCCAGTCTTTCTAGAATATAAGAAATATAGGCTATTTCTCATGCAAGATAGTGCAGCAGCTTTTTTCTGTTCTTATTTAATGTAACCTTTTCATTATTTAGTTTCAGTTCATTACCTTAAGTTACACCTGTTTCCACCATGGAGAAATCCAAAATCATCCTGTGCTTCCATGGAAAGGGGTATGTATGCATACAGTAAATTTATTTACATGTTCGTATATCCTTCTAGTGACTAACTTTTGGATGGTGCAGCTGATGTCTCTGGAAATGCCAAGCTGTGTGAGAAATCTAAACTGAAGTACATTTGGCCTGGTTTTCACAGCTGAAACATCTCTAATCCCATAGGAGCTGGGGAGAAGAGAAGCAGCAGGTCCATGCAATGCACTGGGATTTAGGAGCATGACTGAGCATTCTCTCTGCAGTGTTGTACCAAGATGCCCACCCAAGCTCATTTTTCACACAGTTAACCTCAGTGCAACATGGTTTATCAGCTCAGCTGTACAGTAAAGCAGATGTGTATCTGCCAGATCCTAGAAGAGGTACATTTGCAGATGTTGTTGTGCATCTAAACCAGTAAAACTGACTGTACCTGAACTGTCTTCGTATGCAATCAAGTGCAGTTGATCCTTGAACCAGATAAATCACTCAGGGGTGCCCAACAGCTAAGTACTTCTAATGTTAAGACTAATGGCTAAATATGCACTTCTTTGGTTCGCGCTTATTTTCATACACAAGTTTTCATGTTTACCAGCGCCTTCTGTACCACATGCTTTCCAAACAATGCATCCAGTGGGTCCCAGACCATTTCCTTCCTGTTTCCTTCCTAAGTGAAGTGTTCTTTCAGTAGTAAAGCAGGTCCTCCCTCTCCTTGCTTTTCCCATCTATGTCCCAGCATCTGAGATCAGTACTGGTTTAGTACTTCTGAGCATTATATTACATAGGGGAGGTCTGAGTGAGAGCTGATCCTCCTTCTCCTTCCTCAGATACAGCAAAAAGCCTTACTAGCACCTCTAGGCCTGACACTAAGGTGCTTGAGCCTAAGACCAGCTGTGCTGGTTTAAAGGTAAACCAGCAGGGGAAATAAACTCAACTCAAAAGAGAGATTATAAATCAGAATAACAATTTAATAAAATAATACGATAAGTACGATTATACGGACAAACAATTGGTTTTAACCCACAAAACCCAAATATATAACCCAGCACCCTGGGGCATGAACAGAGTGGTGTTCTTTGGGCCCCCTGAGTCCAAAGGAAAAGGAGAGGGGAAAACCTGTTGGTGAGAGTGCTGTTGCAGTCTGGTCGAGAGTGGTGATTGCAGTCTGGTTGAGAGTGATCGTTGCAGTCCAGTCGAGAGTGCTGGTCTGCAGTCTGGTTGAGAGCGGTGATCTGCAGTCTTCCTCTGGATCCCACAAGTGGTTAAAAAGGTCCCAAGACTCCAAGATTATATATCCTCCAGTTCAGGCAGGAATGCTCAGTACCTCCCTCAGGGCGGGGGGGTTCCTTAATGGGTGTGAGGACAAGAGCAACTCCTATCTCGCAGGCCTCTTAGCACCTAGTTTATAGCCTGAGGAGTCAGGCTCTATGTGCAGATAGTGTAAATGGTTCATTGATAACAGTTTCTGGGAAATGGCATGGAAGGCTATAGAATACACAGTTTTGGGTTACACCCATCCAGTGATGAACTGGTCTCAGCTGTCCTAACTAGGACACCAGCATAATTAAGCATGGGGTTCTCCCCCCATATGGATGCACCAAAATAGGAGTCACTAGTGCTGAGTAGCCATGAATGTTCCAGCAGAGTCTCCTTCAAAAATGCTAGGAGTTTTTTCAAAGTATGGGCTTGATATAGGTACCTAATTCTACTTACTGAACTTAATTCCAGATAAGTTTGAGGGTGGACAAGGTAACTTTGTCTTTGAAGTCTTTACAGGAAAGATATTGCTTTGCTTCCCATAAGATAAAGTCAGCATAAATATTTAAAGATTAAACAGTCCATGGTGCATTATCTCCTAAGTTCAGCAGATTTGCAATGGTGTGTCCATGTTTCACTGGGCATAAATTCATAATGCTACCTGACCAAGCAGTGTACAGCTCAGTATTAATGACCAAGGAGTTCTGTGCATGTTGGAATATCCAGGTCACAGTACAGGAACCTGGTGGGACAGCAGGACTGTACTATAATGAAACAGTTCCTCAGCCAAAATTTCACTTCCCAGCACTGTGTCTCTCTGCCCTCTCCATTAAGCAATGCAGCAGCTTGTGTGGCTGGACTGCAGAGTGGATTATTGACATGATTTAAGCAAAATAATAATAATAAAAAGCTTTATTTTTAAACAGAGATAATTTAGCCAATCCTGTTTGCAGCAGTCCCCAAAGAAGGTGCCTTGGCACAGCTGAGGGAAGTATGAGCTGCAGAGTGTGGGTGGGAAGGAAGGGGCTGAAATGGAGAGAGGAGCAAGTTTTCCAACCAGTTTCCCACTGGAAGAGATGGCTTTCCAGATCAAGACCCTCAGCTTCTAAGGTGTCAGCTGTTTGCTCTGCACTGACACTAAACTAAACTGCTCTGTTCTGAACTCTCCCCCCACCACCTTCATTATTGTGAATTTTAGAACACTGAATGGTGCAACACTACCAGAACAAGCCATGGCTTTCCTTTCTGGAAGAGGAGTGTTTTGAAGGGCGGGTGAGAGAAAGGTGACCTGAGCTGCTGCATTCCTTTTATTCTCAGCTGTTGCAGTGCCCTTGAGGGGAGCTGCAGGGGGTAGGGATGCAGCAGCTCCCTGCAGCTGAACAGAAGTCATCAGAGTGCTGAGGTTGTAGCTTGTGCAGTGGGGACACTGCAGGCAGCACAGGGGAGGAGAAAAAGGCCAAAGCCCTTTCTGTTCCTTGCCTCCTATTCCCTGCTTGACACAATTGATTTTAAAAACCAGACAGGCCCAGGAAGCCTTTTGTTCACACTCCTTAACTTCAGGAAAAGCAATTTTGCTGTGATTGCACCACATGTTATTCCTCAGCCTGGCCTTCTCAGAGCACAAGATGCTCTCACAGCATAGAAGGGAAATGCCTGAACAGGGAATTACAAATAAAGAGAATCAAGCTATGTACATTATATCCTGAATGCTGATGCTAAACACATTTTTCCTTAAATGGATCTCATTTGACTGCTGCCTGCAAGCACAGCTCTGAGGGTGAAACCACTCTCCAAAGTCATCCTCAGTAATTAAGGAACATACTTAGCCCATAATAGAGAATTAATGGATTAGAGTGATGCCTTTTTCAAAGTGGTTTGACTATACACAGCTGCTTTCATCCTAAAACACTTGAAAATCCCTGGGCTCAGGTTTGTTATTATTGCAATCAGTGCTGAAATTATGACTGACTGTCCGTCAGCCTTGCAGAGAGACCTCATGGTGCCCAGCACTATTGAAGGGACCTCCCTTCAGGGATCCCTGCTACCCCAGCCCCATCAGAGCTCATGCCTGTATGAAGCAGGGTACTTTCATGCCAGTCCTTGTTCTACAGGCGGCTTACCTGTTTTGCATTCATCTGAATAAAACAGCCCTTGAAGAAGAGATAAAACAAATTTTCTTCCCTTCTGGGTGAATCGCTTAATCCTTGGACTACAGCTGTGTTCTGTTGCTGTCCCCTTCAATCTTTTACTGCAAAGTAGGACAGCTTCACAGGGCAAAGTAGGGTCTTGCCACCAGGTGGGAGAACTGAGATGGGTCTGAACCCTCTGGCTCTACTCTTGAGGATCAGTGTCTGAGGGACATTGTTGTCCCAGTTGTAGGGGCTTTGGCATCCTCATCTTGTGTCTTCTCTGAATGAATCCCCAAAGCACACAGTGGCACCGCAGTCCTTTTCATCTGATAAAGAATTAAGCTGATATCTGCTTGAAGCTATAGTCTAAAAAAAATCTGCATAATCATTGAGCCTTTTTGAGAATTAAAAAAGAAAGACAAAGCACAAAAGCAACTGATTTTTTGGGGGGTAATGAATCTAGATGTTCCAACCTTACCTGCAGCTGAGCAAGACTGTAAGAGGAAGATTTAATGTGCCAGTGTCTTAAAACAGGCAAACACTGTTGTTCTATATTTAACATTCATCTATATATTAATTTTATAAAGCTCTGGGTTCATAAGAAGTTTGAAATTATGAAATACTCACAGAAGGCCTGAACCCCTTCTGAAAATGAGAGCAAATTAAACTTAATGGCTTATTTATCTTCACTATTATTTGCCCATTTTGAATCAGACTTAATGCAGAGACAATGGAACTATACATTAGACAGTTACAAAGGATTCTCCATAGTCTTTCTTTCCTTTTGTAAGTTAGCTCCCAGGCCCATGTGCCTCCATCCATTCTTCTGAAGCAAATCAGAAGTTCTTGGAAGCCCCAGCCTAGGACTAGAGTCTTGCCCTGTTGAGGAAGATATATCACTGGTCATAAAAAATGTGTAGTTTATTCATGCTCAAGCACAGACTATACTTTCAAATGCAATTTACTATCTAATTTGAAAGACTTATATGCAGGAATTTTTCATCATTAATTAAACTTAAAAGTCTTTGATAGGCTAGCAAACGCCTACACAGTAATATGACCACAGTAATAGCCAGAACTTATTAACAATGGAGTTTAGTAAAGATGAAATGGAATAGCCAGATTCCATTCTGATTTACTAGTTTTCCAATAAAGTTTTTAATCAGTTAATTTATGCATTCAGTTGAATCCTTTGAAGTCTCACTAATCACAAATGGACATACGCTATGTCCTCGTCTACCAGTTTAATGGAGTGGCATTCCTAAATCCTAGTTTTAAAATGTCTCTTACTTCCCTTGTAGAAGAAATAGGATTCTGACAAAGGATTTGCAAGCAGCTCTACGGATTTTTGTGTTATTTCTCCTTCACCTTGTCTTTCATAGTGAATTCAAGAAATATCACATATCCATGGAACAGGGTAATTCAAATCTTTAGCAGAATGCTGCTGCTGTCATTCGTGAAAAACTGCACTTTGATGCGTGGATGGTGGCACTGAATTCAATGGAGCTAATGATTGTGAGCAAGAAGATACTTCAGGGGAGTGTGGCAAACTTTACCCCTTTACAACAGGGATTGTTGACGCTTCAGGACAGAGACAATGTCTAAATAGATAACACAGAGTCTCCATCTCAACTGGCA